TGGAATGGAACCAAGACACCACCGGCTCTTTTAGTCGGGCTCGTCCCGTGGTACGATGCCGGCAGCTGTGTAGAGAGCTCACCTGGCCGGTCTTGCGGGTTCCCTCCCTGTGCACGGCAGGGTCACGTGTGTGTGCGTCTGAGGAATACACCAACTCCCGAGATCTCCAAATCAGCCGATCGGCATTATCTTTTCGTCAGCTGCGTAACGCAGTGTGGAAGGTACCTGGTCTGTCACTCCATGCGAGGCTCCGGGTCTTCTCTCCCACAGTCGTGCCCATCCTTGTCTTTTCTTTCGAAATGTGGACCCCCTCGAACTGAACATTTGCGCCGGTTAGAAACATTCAGGCTGAGCTGCCTATGATCTATTTGGGTTTAACCAGGCTGGATCTTGTCAGCTCAAAAATCCTTGAAATATCTGGACACATTCCCATCAGTGAGTTCCTCCGGCAGGCAATGCTGTATTGGCTGGGTCATGTAGTCCACAAGCCCTGCCACCGCATCCCCAAGCAGCTTGTTTGGCCGGATAGAGGAGGCTAAATGGGCGCGGACACGGGCTGGAGAAGAAATGGACTGATACGGTACAGAAGGTTGTGGAGCTGAGTGGACTTGGCGAAGACTGGTACCAGCGGTGTCAAGATTGGCCCCTATGGAGAAAGCTCGTAAATGATGCTGAGCAGTTGGAGGCAGTCGTCCTCCAACAACAGCGGAGGACAGGAGCGACGCTCACAAAGAGTGGAGCGCCGGACGGCTAATATGCAGCAAATTGGCACAGGAGGGTGAACAGGTGTTGCCGCTGCCAGTCATCTCAGTCAGTGAACCCATGACATGTGACCTCGTGAGCGAGGTTTCGACACTCCACGTGGCCTCGGACTGCACTTTGCCTGGCACAAGCCCCGTGGTGACGTCACCAACACTTAGTGGTGAATGCGTTGTTGTGTGCCTATCTAAATAAAGACCTTAATCTGTATGTCTCAAAAACCTTGAGGGTATTTCCCGACGAGGTAGAAAACTGAAATTTGGTATAGTTTTTAGGACACAAAAAACTGTGAAAATCTGAGATTTTTCATTTTAACGGCCCCAAGATCTCCGATTTTAAGTGCCACATAAATGTTTGTGCGTGGTATCATTCAGAAACCGTTCAAAATATAAGATTGCGGGGTTTTTTCGTTTGATAGAGCGTTAAACAGCAAATACAATTAAAGCGAGAAGCATTGTTCTTATCTTTGAGTGAGGTATTTGGATTCAGGCGGTTTTAAACAAAAAAATACGAATGTTATGTTCAAATCTGAAAAATTCGAAAACGGTAAAAGATAGGAGCTTCCCCTCAGAGTATGAAGTGAGAATTATTTTGTTTTATTTTATTATTTCCCTTCTACGTGACTTTACCGAAAGAACCAAGAAGATGAATCCCTGCAGTCACGAAAGCTTTAAATATAATTATTTTATTATGTTTATTTTTTATTATTTTATTACTTCCCTTCTACGTGACTTTACCGAAAGAACCAAGAAGATGAATCCCTGCAGTCACGAAAGCTTTAAATATAATTATTTTATTATGTTTATTTTGTTTTATTTTATTACTTCCCTTCTACGTGACTTTACCGAAAGAACCAAGAAGATGAATCCCTGCAGTCACGAAAGCTTTAAATATAATTATTTTATTATGTTTATTTTGTTTTATTTTATTACTTCCCTTCTACGTGACTTTACCGAAAGAACCAAGAAGATGAATCCCTGCAGTCACGAAAGCTTTAAATATAATTATTTTATTATGTTTATTTTGTTTTATTTTATTACTTCCCTTCTACGTGACTTTACCGAAAGAACCAAGAAGATGAATCCCTGCAGTCACGAAAGCTTTAAATAGAATTATTTTATTATGTTTATTTTGTTTTATTTTATTACTTCCCTTCTACGTGACTTTACCGAAAGAACCAAGAAGATGAATCCCTGCAGTCACGAAAGCTTTAAATAGAATTATTTTATTATGTTTATTTGTTTTATTTTATTACTTCCCTTCTACGTGACTTTACCGAAAGAACCAAGAAGATGAATCCCTGCAGTCACGAAAGCTTTAAATAGAATTATTTTATTATGTTTATTTTGTTTTATTTTATTACTTCCCTTCTACGTGACTTTACCGAAAGAACCAAGAAGATGAATCCCTGCAGTCACGAAAGCTTTAAATAGAATTATTTTATTATGTTTATTTTGTTTTATTTTATTACTTCCCTTCTACGTGACTTTACCGAAAGAACCAAGAAGATGAATCCCTGCAGTCACGAAAGCTTTAAATAGAATTATTTTATTATGTTTATTTTGTTTTATTTTATTACTTCCCTTCTACGTGACTTTACCGAAAGAACCAAGAAGATGAATCCCTGCAGTCACGAAAGCTTTAAATAGAATTATTTTATTATGTTTATTTTGTTTTATTTTATTACTTCCCTTCTACGTGACTTTACCGAAAGAACCAAGAAGATGAATCCCTGCAGTCACGAAAGCTTTAAATAGAATTATTTTATTATGTTTATTTTGTTTTATTTTATTACTTCCCTTCTACGTGACTTTACCGAAAGAACCAAGAAGATGAATCCCTGCAGTCACGAAAGCTTTAAATAGAATTATTTTATTATGTTTATTTTGTTTTATTTTATTACTTCCCTTCTACGTGACTTTACCGAAAGAACCAAGAAGATGAATCCCTGCAGTCACGAAAGCTTTAAATAGAATTATTTTATTATGTTTATTTTGTTTTATTTTATTACTTCCCTTCTACGTGACTTTACCGAAAGAACCAAGAAGATGAATCCCTGCAGTCACGAAAGCTTTAAATAGAATTATTTTATTATGTTTATTTTGTTTTATTTTATTACTTCCCTTCTACGTGACTTTACCGAAAGAACCAAGAAGATGAATCCCTGCAGTCACGAAAGCTTTAAATAGAATTATTTTATTATGTTTATTTTGTTTTATTTTATTACTTCCCTTCTACGTGACTTTACCGAAAGAACCAAGAAGATGAATCCCTGCAGTCACGAAAGCTTTACATCGAAATTTGACGGAACCTTTACATTGAGCGGTTTCCGATGAGTACGTCTTTAAATATAAGAAGTTTAATCGTCACCATTTTTTTGCGGAAAAATACATTTTTTTGTAGTTGTTAGTGTCTGATCGTAGATACAAATTGTAAAATATCATATCAGGTTCACGATACTGATTTAAAATGTTTACCTGGCGAAGACAGGCTTCATGAACTAGTGTGTAATCACCACCAATGGGCTTATTCTGCTTTTCAGCTGTAGAATAACGCGCGCCAGATGAATTACTTGGGTCCTAAGCGATTCGTGACATTGAGTGCGAGCTCGCCTGTCCCGCGAGTGAAACCAATCACAGCCTCGAATCGGATTATTTTCGGTTTAAAAAGGCAATCTTTTTGGCATTTTTGCAGATGAAAGCTGATCAAGATGGAGCTACCGAGACGGTCCGAAGCAGAGGTTGCTGACCTGTCGCTCCGGAATCGCATGCGGGCAGCTTTTAATAATCGCTTCAGGAGTTATTTATTAATAACCACCTTAATGACTATTACTATTTTGGTTGCCGACCCCCTGATCTAAGAACTTACCGTCGTGGTTGTATTTGTATCAGATGCGTGCAGTAGAATTGAGTCGATGCATCAGAATGTTTCAATGGACTTCAGGTAGAGACGGTCCATACAGACGCCCATCAATGACAGAGCACGGTCATTGCTTCACCTTTACTCACTGCCGAGGTCGTGCAATGCCTAACGTAGCACGATATCGATTCAAAGTTCGCAAATGGGGCTTGAAATTGACTCCCGGGCGAGAGGTAAGCCCCCCCCACAACCCCGCCCCTCAGTGGGTTGGGAACTCATTTCGTCCCTCCCATGCATGGCATGATGTAGCTGCTCACCCGAGCCCTCATTACTCTGATAGTGCATTGTCTTTGTGCTGTACGCCTTTTGGCGTCCTCTGGTCTAACACCGTTTGAGACTAGACTCGAAAGAAAGTTGTCTCTGGTGTGGACCAATCAGTTTCAAAGACAATGCATATATTACCAGAGTATGTTTTCTGTTTGCATTCTGACCACAATTATTGTGGTTAATGCAGACATGATTCCTTGTAAAAGGTTTCAGTTTGGTGTTTAAACATCTTAACATCTGTTTTGTTGCCAGAAAAAAGGGGAAAACCTATCCTCATATTTTGGTACTGGCAAAGGAGGTCCCATGATGCTTAGCATTTTTAACCCATTTCCCAGGTCCTAACTAATGATAAGTATTTTTTTGATCGATTCCACAAATTACATAATGCGTGAAAAACCAGAAAGCTGATCACCGTGCATACCAGGGTGATCGGCAGTCTAAACGTCCATTCGATATGTTTGTGAACCCACTTGCTGCGCTGCCTTATATGCGAGTGTGTGGGCACGTGTCTTTGTATGCGTTTGTATTTGGTACATGAGTGTGCCGGTGAATATAAGTGTATATACGATGTGAATGTACGTGCTTTGCGTGTGCGCGCGACTGTTAACCTGCAGCAGTCGTGCCGTGGGTGAGAGAAGAAAATGCCCAACACGCAGCTCAACATGGAAGACTACTCTTGGATGGGGAGTACATTATTTTCCATTTATGTTTCCGAGTCATTAAACAACGCTCCATCAAATGGCGAGTCTTTAATCGAGTGACAGAACGAGGCCAACCCTTCTCGCTAACCAATACCATTAACCCACCATTCGCCACTAAGTGACGGCAACGTCACCATGGCGCCCGTGCCAGACATGGTACATTTTGAGGCCACGTTAAGTGTCGAAGGCTCGCTGACAAGTCACGGGACAGACCCAGGTGCCATGGGTTGACCGATTGAGATGACTGGAAGATGCACTAGTTGGGCCCAACTCCACCCCTCTAACACAGACCCCCGTGTTAACCATAACCGCTAACACAATCGTATCCCCCCCCCTCTTCCTGAACTCGTAACCCCAGTGTTGTGACTGGCGTGTGGTTGGTGCGTACCGATACGTGTACAGGTTGTGAAGCTGGTGTGCAGCTGCTGTGCAACTGGTGTTAAAAGCCACACTTTGACACGACCTACAAATATAAGTCGCGAACGTCCATTTAACTTGTCACATCAACAAAGCTTTTAACCAAAAACATCGAACATTTATTGCAGCCAACGTGTTAAAAATCGGTGGGGCGGCACTTTGTACAAACTCCGTAAGATCACCCATCCTTGCTGAATGCAAAGGCCGACAACTGTACACTTGTAACCGCTGCCAAAGGACGCTTCCTTTTCGATGCGCGTTCATCGTCGGGAGGAGCTTTCCGATCGTTCTCCGTCAACCGGCTCCTCGCGCATCCTCTTCAAATCTTCCACCTCTTTAGCTTCCTGCGCAAACGCCTTTGCCTTGGCGTTCCATTCCTGTACGAGCACACGATAATTACACAACTCGGACCTTCAGCCCGGGGGGAAGGCGGAAACTTGCGCTTCAAGACAGTTCCAGGGTGCAGGGTCCAGGTTCTGCAAGAAGTGGGGAGCACCCTCACTTTAACCCACTGTGGTGTACCCATTTATATTGCTGGGTGGACAGAGGTGGAGAGGACTTAAGAAACTGGCGTCATCGTTTCAACTGCCGCGCATGGAGATTCGAATTGAACCTGGCAACCTCTGGATAGCAAGTCCAGTGCGCGAACCATTCCGCCACGATAGCTCTAAATTTCTCAGTTAAGGGCCCGATTCATATGCTGGTGGGAAAGTGACCATCCCCATAACACCTTATAGATAGTTAGCCAAACATTTGCCTTGCCAGTCTGTCTGCTGACAAATGTAGCAGGCCCTAAATGTGGCAGCATCCGTCGACACGGAGCGGAGAGGGCAAGCCTGCCAACACCCAGATGCCATCATCGCCACTCACTGCAAGTTTCTATTTTTGCAAATTCCTACCGTACCTCCTGATTGGCACGGTTGGCTACGTAAGGACTGAAAGAAGTTCAACATACATACAACATATAATTTGCGAGGTGAGAGTCTGCTGTGGTATCGAGCGGTTGGTAAAAGAGGCACGCTTGCCTTCTTCTCTTGCGACGGGAGCTCCCGGAAGCGCGCGGTCCCGTCTCGCACGAGATCCTCCTCGCCGAGGTCGCTGCGCCCGGCCTCCACGAGCTCACGGTTTTCCCGCAGCCACAGCTCAAAGCCAGTGCGCACGCTGCACACGCACAACAGCGACAGCTCGAAGACAAAGATCCCCCGTGTGGCCTAAACAGACCGTCGTGGGGCGAGCGCTGTTGGCGCGCTCCCCTCCGAAGGCCGGCACAACACACAGCGCGGTGGTGTGTCCAGGAACACTCGGCCGCCTAAATCTCCCTCATAGAAAGCCGAGTTGACCTGAGCGAGACACAGGACCGGTAAAAATATTCGTCACCTATGTTGGCCACGAGTGGGAATCTAACCGAGGTCGCCAGATTCATAGGAAAGAGTTCGAATGACTACTACAGGCATGGCGCAAATGCACAGCACACGCAGACGCAGTACACAGATATGAATAGCATGGTGCACACACACAAACACACCACACGTAGATAGAGTACAGATACAGCACACACAGAAATAGCACACAAAGAGGCACAGCACAAACACAGACAGAGAAATAGCACACATCCAGACAACACAGTCATAGCACACCTTCATAGTATACACCCAGACATACCACCCACAGTGGGTAGCTTAGTGCTCTACCTGCTGACACACAGCCAATCAGCTTCCACAACCGACACGGTCTTCACACAATGCACGCTTGCTCATTAGCAGCCTCCGCATGTCGACCCGGAGGCAACAATTCTGCAGCGAACTCAGCCACTGACCATCGCACAGCTTCCTTGTCTTTTGTAATGACCCCAGCAGCTTCCTTCATCTGAGAATCTCCAGACTCTTCCTTCTTCTGAGCATCTCCAGCCACCTCTTGGTCTTTTCCTTTGAAACTCATTCCGAACAGTGTCGCCTGCTTGAGCCCATAAACACAGCGAGGCCAGGGCAGTGTTGTTCGTCATATCGTCGGTAAAGGCAAATGCGTCAGTGTGGGTCGACAGTGCCCCCCGCGGACACTCGTGCCTGCGCTAACATTTTTAACCACAGTGCACTTTGCACGTTACACCATACTCGTGTTCTCAGGATTGTGAGACGCAGCAGAAAGTCAGAAGCACCACAAATGTGTAACTAGTGTCAATAAATCTATACAAATCTGCTTACTAGTGGATTATAAGACTCATTCCCAATATTGTTTTAAAATACATGGGGGGAAAAAAAGTATATTGTAATTTGGAGAATACAGTCTCTGTAAGGCATCCCTGGAAAAACATTTTAATGCAACAATATGGAAATGATCGTGCAATTAACACTTTTCACAGCCATGCGTTTTTCAGCCGTACGTCACCTTGCAGCAAGCCACTTTTTAATTAATTCTGTAAACGCTGCTCGGTTAAATTTTTGGTAAACATTTTCAGAATAAATGGGGCAGGACACTGGTCCTTCAAGGCGATACCTATCATTTTTAGATTTTGCCACACAATGTGTGGGCCCGAAAACCCAAACCTATATTCTCTCCCGTGAAACCAATGGTACCGGCCACTGGAAGGAATCACCGGGTCATTGAGAAATGACGCTACCTGAACCGTGAAAAGGTTGAACAGATAAGAAAGTCAGCGTGTGTGTGCGTGCGTGTGGACAAGGGGACAGGCACCTGCTTGGCCTTTGGCTTGGCAGGCTGTGGGCCGGGACTAGGGGTGGGGAACCGAGCGTCGGGGTTTGCTCATGCTGTCCAGAATGCTGCTGCACGGAGGCCGCTCCTCGTTCGAGGTCGCAGCTTCTGCCGACACCTGGGAAGGCACGAGAGCCCGGGCGAGGCGGTGCAATGGTCAGAGCACATGGATCCCAATCACAAGGTGACAGAGTTCAACAAAGCCCGGTAGTGAAATATATGAGCAGACAATATTCTCCTTCATATATATATCGGTCTCTGCAAATTAAAATTTTTGGTTTTTGTATGCTTCCCGCCAAACCACAAGGCCTTCTGGGAGCTCATATATTCAGCAGCGTTGGTTCAATACAAGCAAATTCTAGACCGGTTTTCGATAAAAGTGTCAGATTCGACGATAAAATTGCTCAACCTTGCAACAGAAGTGTGGAATTTCCAGGACTGGCTCCGACTGTAAAGAATATGCCTCTCCGTGTAAATTTGCATGGGAAAGCACGCAATAATAATACCACGGGTACTCCAAAACTATACACATGTACACTCAGCAGTGAAAGGACCTGGTGAACACACCCACATTGTGCACAAACACAGCAGTTCCTTTTCAAAGTGCATACACACACTATAAACACACAGTACACACACACAATGTGCATACACACAATGCAATACACACGTACAGTATACAATGAATGACACATACAGACAAGATACCTCCAACCACCCACCACGGTACACAATGAGACGTATTTTAAAGGAGTCCCTCTTACTTTGAATGGGTTGCTGCGATGAATTGCAGGATTTTCGCACAACTGGCCCTGGAAATTGGCAAAATGAAGGGTAATGTTACTGTAAACATATTGTAGATTAAATGCCGATTGCTTTATGTCTCTTGTTAACAAAAACATTTTACTTTCAAAATTCCCTATATATAGCTGATGTGCGACATCGCGCATTTTTGCCATGTACACAAACGCAGGCATCATGGCACATTACATTGGCGGCCTGGCCCTCTCACCTGGCCTGATTGGCAAGGAAGGTTCCTGGTCTCTGTTGCTCTGCAGCACTGGTCCTGCAACAACCACGAACAGGAGTTATACTCACGAGCCTGAGCGATCTGTTGGGCAACTCGGTTGCATGCAACCGAATCACTTACGCGCGGGTTGCGAGTAAGTTGCTCAACAGGCTGCTTACAGCAGGAGACAAACCCTTTCAATGCAAATAACAAAACACACATTGGTCAATAACATATGGCTTTACAACAAAAACGGATATATATAATAGGCGACGTATCAGGCAATGACACTTCTTCGAAGCACACAAACAACAGTTGTTACAATTCTGACGTGGGTGGGGGTAGGAGGAGGTTGAGCTAACTACAAACAGGGGGTGAATAAGTTGTGGGACTTCGAGCGCGCATTGGTTGCATGACAGATCCCCACCTCCGATTAACACGGTTGGCTACGTACGGTATGTGAAAGAAGTTCAACATACATACAGATCACTCAGGTGCGGACTGCGCCTGTACGGCTATGGACAGCAAAACGAACGAATTCGACAGGGCCGGATTGTGACCTTGCTGGGGCCCTAAGCCATGTCACACTTCAGAGGCCCCACCAATTGGCACCTCTATGAGCACGGTCGGCTGCGTACGTTGCGAACGAAGTTCAACATACGTTGAGGAATGCCTGTATATTTTTGTCATATTGGAATGAAAATAACTGTTTTGGAGAATCTTTATTCCCCCATCCCCCCATCACTCACTGCTCCGATCCGTGTCCCGCCTCACAGGCGGCTCCTTGGCCGCAGTCTCAGCCTCGTTTTCCGCCACCTCCACGTCCTCATCATCTTCCGCCTTGGCCTCCGCCTCATCCTCGAGCGACCGCGCCAGCTCGGCGAGGCGCTCCGCCAGACCCAGGTGGCGCGAGCGAGACGCGTATTTGATCGCCAGGGTCAGTGCCGCAGGGGTCATCATGTGCGCCACCTCCACGCAGCGGAACTCCCGGTCCAGCTTGCACGCCAGCTGGAGCGTGCAGCCAGACACAGCGCACAGTTAGCTACAAACAGTAATCAGCAACAACGCAGAGCTAGACACAATGTAGATCTACCCACTACGCAGAACCCGGCCACAATGTAGATCTACCCACCACGCAGAACCCGGCCACAAAGCAGATGCAGCAACAACACCGAGTCGCCGCAACACTGAGCAACCACAACGCAGATTCTGCCATAACGCAGACATCGCCACAACGCAGATTCTGCCACAACGCAAAGTACGCTCGAGTAAGGACTAGAGTGAGGGCGAGTACGAACAGCAAACATCTTCATGAGGCACTCTTGCTGGTGGTGCGTGGCGTCGCCCTTGGGTCCGGCCCCCTTGGTCAGACGGGAGCACCAGTACTGCTCCTGTGGGTGAAGGCAGAGTCATCGCGTTAAGCCTCCGGAGCCACAAGCCAGAGCCGCTTATGCCACCACCTAATGTGAGGGACAAAGCTAACCCGTGCTCACCGCCCCCCCCCAAATATAGAAGTCAGTTCCGACTAAGCATTACTCCTCTTATTACCTCAACAAATGTAATCAACCACTCCTATAAACGGCTCTCTCCCGGCCGCTAAAACAACAACCGCGCAGCCACGTACCTCCATGGCGCCTTTCTCCGTGTTCATCTGGCAGAACGGCAACTTGAAGGGCACTACGGTGACCGCTGGACGGGGCAACGTGGGTGGGAATCTGGAGCCTTTGCATGGAATGCACCTGCCGAGGGACACAGTTCCTGCATCAGCGGCAGGTGGTGGCGGTGGCCCGGCGGTAGCACGTTCGCGCTTTAGGACGTTGTTCGCAAAATGTAGACGATCGTGTGTGCCGGATAGAGGAGAGGTTGTCACCCCTCAACACATAAAGCCGCACGTATGTTATATGACTTAGAGTGTGTCCCTTTACCAGTCCCCTCCCCCTCCCACACCCGATCAACCCCTAGAATGTTGGTTACTTTCTCCCTACCCCTCTTCCCCTGCCCGTAAACACAAACTCCCACTCTCCCCCCCACATCCGTCGGAGACCCCCATCAGGGTGGGCACCGAGCATCCCTTCCCCGCACCTAGACAATGTGAGAGTGCCAAAAAGTTCCTCTCCCTTCGCTGTTTTTGTCCACCCCCTCCCCAGAAACCGCACATTATACCAGGCTTGTGATTCCAAGAACACAGGATGAGATGTTACTATCCTTTGTGCAAGCACTTCCAAGAGTTCATGAACAGTGAGCCTGGTGAAATTTGGGGAGCGCATCGTCAGTAGTGAACCTTTGGTTCCTAGGGTGTTTCGGCCTTTCATACTATACACCCTCCCCAAAGGCGGCCAGCGACAGGGTGATCAATCCTACGCTTGCGTCCCATTCCCAATTAGTCATAGGAGTTGCCTTGTTGTTGATAGCCAACATCCCATGGGACTATGCATGGCAGGAGCGTCCTCCTCCCTGAGTCAAGCATTGTTGACTGCATACCTCCTGGCCCTCTCACTTTGGGGCCCAGCTGGGGTCTTTCCTCTTCATCCAGAGCCACTGACTGCTGCCTTCTGCCGCCTCCGATACAGCTCTGATTGCCGAACGCTGGCTCTGGCCCTTAATTCCCAGGTCTCTAAGCAGTCTGGTTGTAGATGTTGCCACAAAACCTCTGCAGCCCACCTCCACTGGTCGGACTTCTGTGTTCCAGCCATGATGCCGTGCTTCGGCAGCTAGATCGACATAGCGCAGATGTTTTCGCTCATAAGCCTCATCTACTGAGTCCTCCCAGGGTACTGTGAGCTCAATGATGAAGACCTTCTTGAGCGAACGGGACCAGAGCACCATGTCAGGTCTTAGGGTGGTGGTTGCGATCTCCGGAGGAAACACAAGTTGCCGGCCAATGTCAGCTAGCATTTTCCAGTCGCGGGCCAAGCGCAGCTGGTCTCGCTCTAATGGTGTAGAGCCGCTCTTCGGTGGTTTAGCCCCTTCGTGGACAAAGGTCGTCCGTAAGGGGTGTGATGCTGCTGGGGGTGGTAGGGAGTTGGTGGCAGCTCGCTTGTCCTCCAGGGCGGACGCAAGGTTTTTAAGGACTTGGTTGTGACGCCAAGTGTAGCGACCTTGGGTGAGGCTTGTTTTACACCCTGTGAGAATGTGCCTGAGGTTGGCTGGCATGGAACAGAGGGCACAGTCCGGATCTTCACCATACCATTGTTGAAGATTAACTGGTGTTGGAAGGACGTCATATGTTGCTCTGATGGAAAAGCTCAACTGCCTCGCTTCCATGGCCCACAGATCCTTCCAGCTGATCTTCCTCTTCTCCACACTGTCCCATCGAGTCCACTGTCCCTGTTTGGCAAGAGAGACTGCTTTGGCCCACCTTGCAGCCTCCTCCTGATGGCGTACTTCCTGCACTACCATCTTCCGCCGCTCTGGTGCAGTGGCCTTACTCCAAACAGCACGGCTAGTTAGCCCAAGGCCTCCTCTCCCTTGCTGAACATGACCCACAATGTCAGCATGTCTGAGGGCTGCTGTTGCCTCCTGGACTGCTTTTCCTGGCCTCCATTTGCGCCCAGTTGCCAAGGTCGACGCGTTGTTGCTCACCACTGGGTCTCGAGATTCATTCAGTGTCATCTGGAGCCTGGTTTTTGCACACTTGAATTCCTCTGTTAAATGTACCCACAAATTGCTCATTTGGGGACTTAATGTAGCAACCATCACCCCTAGGTTGGCAGACTAATGCACCAGAGCTCACTCTTCTAAATTAGACTATCCCAGTCTCTTAAGTCCTCGCCTGGTCAACCACACGCCACTCACCTGAGCTGCTGCAGGGCCTCCTGTACGCCCACCAGCCAGTAGTGGTCTCCGCGGCTCTTGAGTAGGTCACGGGTACAACACACCGGGGTCCAGCTGTAGCCCAGCGCTCGGTTCATGAGACTGACCACCCCCAGCGAGTCTGCAAATACTGGGGTACCTGGGAGGCACAAGCACCAGGTGCACGGCAAAAGAGTTGAGTGCACCGAAAGGACCATTTAAAATTGCGCAACGAAATGTAACATGTTTAATGATCCTAGGAGTAGTAATGAGAGAGCGAGGGCGAGTTGAACTGATGTGGTGGAATGAGATACGAGGACTCAATAAGTGGCAGTGCATGCAGGGAGAAAATCTGAGTAGCAGACCCCATGTGGGGACTTTTGGCTTAGGAAAGCAGGCCACATTTGTCAGACCATAGCCATATTCGCATTGGAATATTTATTCAGAGGAAGGCATAACAGGAAATGCTTCCAAGAGCCCTGAGAATATTCACGTAAACTTCTCCTGATAAATCTCCCAGCTCAGAATTGTTGAGCATCTCTCAACAAAAGAGAAAACAGAGGAAGAAAAAAAAACTGGACAACGCCAACATTGTCACGTAAAACGAGTGAATTCCAAGGGGCACTGGAAGAGGACGAACCTTCGGCGGAGAAGCCGAGCCAGGTGAGATGGGCCTTGGGTCCCAGGGGAATGGGGTCTCCTCGCACGACGGCCCTTCTACCTTGGCAGCTCAAATCCAGAAGCTGGAATCCTACACACTGGTCTCCATCAAAGGCCACACCTGGACAGCACGCATACTGCGATTAGCACGATTGGCTACGTACGGTGCAAAAGAAGTTCAACATACATACATGTGCAGTGACTTATATGGAGTCACTATGGTGTTTAGCGCCAGCTACTGTCACAAGAGTGGAAATGTACGTCTTGAGCCTCTCTCTGGCACCAGAGTCGATATGGCATGGAAGCGGGCCCTACGGGCATAGTCCTGGTGAGGGTCAGAGAGAGAGCAAGTGAGGACGTGATACTCTGTGTGAATGCGAGAGGGCACGTGGCCAGGGCAGGGTAGCAAGGGGGCTCAAAAGGGGGCTTGAGGGACACGTGATATGGGCCAGTCTTCTCGTAGGATCTAGAAGGGCGTGTGGCCGAGGACAGAGCCAGGCCACGCGTCCCGAGACGGTTCTGGGCTCTCTGTTGGAATGGAACTCGTCGGTGCTACGTCTCTTCGATCAGCGGTCTTCGATGTTACGCTCGGCATCGTGGGTCGGACAGTGTGTTACTGACTGACCCGGTTATGTAGTTACCCCATTGTGGTCTAGTTAACCATGTAGTTATCACCTAGATGTAGAACCAGTGTACGTTTATGTAGTTAGCCCTGTTGGGTCGTTAAATAAACGTGTTGCCTCCAACTCCAGTGTGTGCCTCCGTATAACACACTACTCATGCATAGACAAAGATTCCCCATATACCCTTTAACAGACTGTTGGTGCAAGTGCTATTAGCAAGCACCTATGAAGGCCGGCACGTCACGAGGGGATGGGTTGCCAGGACCACGCCTTTGTCATCAGGTACTCCTTTGATACTAAATTGACCGAGGGGAGGCCCATAACCCGTTCAGATTATAATTGTTACTGGTGTTGGCCATGAGCAGGAATTGAACTTGGGTTGCCGGGTTCGTAGCGCAGTGCGGTAACCGCTACACTATCCCTCGACACACACACAGTCCAGGTCACTGGCAAATGAGACTATCCTGGCCTCATTAATTCTTACCTGGTTAAACAAATAAACTTCAACCCTACTTATAATTCATAGTGAAGACATCCATGCAGAGAAACCGCCTCACAGCATGCTCACCCCTGTGGTAGGCGACGAGCAACTTCGACGCGTGAGCGGCCAAGGCGAGCACCGGCCCTGGGAGCAGGGACACCTCCCTTTGCAGGCCTCCCAGGGACAGGATCCTGAGCAGAGGACCCATGGAGGCCCCACTGGAGGCCACGGCCACCCAGTCCCCACCCACGCAAATGGCGCGGGCAGTCTCGCCCGTGGGCAGCTCCAGAGTCCATTCCTTCGTCGTGTCCCAGGAGCCGAAGTGCAGACACTGCACCTTGCTGTTCTCGGGCATGCAGTACAAATTGAACGCACAGCACTCCTGAGTATGCACAGCACACACGAGCGCAATACATACACAGCACGAAGAGCAAGCAAGGGCACACGTGGCACACACAGCCTTAACAAAAAACACAGATCCCCAATATGAACCATAACAGACTGTTAGGGCAAGTGCTGTTAGCATGCACCTATTAAGGCCGGCACAGCAGACAATGGGGTGGATGGCCAACACCATACCCAGCCGCCTTTGTGCCCGCAATGCAGATGTTCACACAGGTACTCGTACTGAGTCAACCTAGGAGAGGTCCAGGACCAGTTCAGACATTCGTCACTGATGTTGGCTGTTAAGGGGAATAAAAATTCGGTTCACCAGGTTGGTAGCGCAATGCGCTACCCACTGCACTACTGCTCCCCAGTACACATGAGCACACACAGAGAAGCGTCATAATAAGCTTCTTCCAGACACTCTGCACTAGAGGCCTCCCAAGTCCCCTGTCACTGCAAGCTGCGTTGTGTTCCCACCTAGGCGTGTCCTCCGTGGCCTCACAGGCCAGGAGCACGGCCTGGTTGGAGAGGTGGGCCAGCGTGTGGTTCAGGTTGTTGGCGAGGTGCATGCTGTGGTGCAGAGACGCATCGTGGAACTCCACATCTATGGCGCTGTCTTGTTCGTCATTGTAACTCCGCACCACTCCCACCGAGTTCCACATCTGCCTCGCGCATATGCACACAAAGACAAAGATCCGTCCAGCCTATATCTTTTGTACAGACCGTTGGGGCAAGTGCTGTTAGCGAGCCCCTATTAATGTCGGCACTGCACACACAGTTGTGAGTGACCAGCACCACCCCTGGCCACCTTTGTTTCCCCAGTGATAATATTTACACACCGTAACAGGTACTCATTTAAGGCTGCATTGACCTTGGGGAGGCCCATGGCCGGTTCAAATATTAGCCCTTAAATTTCTCTGTGAGCGGGAATCTAACTCTGGTTGCCGGATTCGTAGCGCATTGGGCTAATGGGCTACTCTTCTTCGAAAGACAAAGAGAAGTTTAATGACACATATTTCATGGTTAAAACACCCACAGTATAAACTAAGCCTGGATTTTGGATTAGAATCGCAAATTTCCATAACAAGCAGCATCATTCAAACGAGTAGGCCATTGTGTGCTGGCGTCATGGTCCACATTTCCCAAAATTAGAAAAATTACACGTAAAATTACAAAATTTCAATCATCGCCAACTGCTAGCAGACTAAAGCCCACCTGCAGGCCATCGCTGAGTCAGCATGTGCTACACAGCTGCCACTCGGGGTATCCTTTGAATGTTTGAGATGAGATGTGATATAAGCCATTTTGAGTTTCTAAGGCATTAAAGCAAGTGCCGTATAAATGCAAAGGATATTATTGCGATAGTGAATACATCAGGACCTTTCCGATGATATCTGTCCTATACATCCACTCATGACGCATCTGTGCGTGTGTATCATGGTATCTAACCATGAAGCGGTGGGAGAGGTGTGCGGGAGTTGATCCCGGCTGGAACGCCTTCTGTCGGGGGGTGGGTGCAGGGCCTGTGTTGCCCGGGGGAAGAGGTCCTGGCCGCTGATCCTCCGCTGCCGGGCCCCGACTCCCGTCGTCCTCGTCCACAGCGGAACCTTGCCTCAGCGAGCCCGTGTCTACAAAACAACAGCACTTCGTAAAAACATTTTGCTTGCCACATAATGTGGTGCGAGTGCTGCAATTGGTTTAAGTGGTGCAGTGTACAGTGAGGTCTGCGAATGGTGTGAGCGGTGTGAGAGATGTGCGTGGTGCCGTGCAGAGTGAGTGATGCGAGTGGTGCCGTGTGGAGTGAGAAATGCGAGTCGTGTGAGTGATGTGAGTCGTGTGGCGACGTGAGTGGTGTGAGTGATGCCGTCCTGTCCCCGGGACAAGACGGCATCACACCTGAGGTACTGCAATGTGCGAAACCCGCTATGCTCACAAAACACCATGAACTTCTCTGCCAGTGTTGGGAAGAAGGAGCAGTGCCTCAAGCATGAGAGACTCCAACATCATCACCCTATATAAAAACAAGGGTGACCGTGGGGACTGCAATAACTACCACGGCATCTCCCTGCTGAGCATCGTGGGGAAAACCTTTGCTCATGTGGTCCTCAGCAGGTTACAGATACTAGCTGAGAGGACACATCCTGAGGCTCAGTGTGGCTTCAGAGCAGGAAGGTCTACGATTAACATGCTCTTCTCCTTGCGTCAGCTACAGGAGAATGTCGAAAACAGAAAATGCCCCTGTACTTGACATTCATTGATCTTACAAAGGCCTTTGACCTCATCAGTAGGGGAGGCCTCTTCAAACTCCTCAAAGTGAACGATGTGAAGCGTGTGAACGATTTGAGTGGTGCGAGTCATGCGAGCGATGCGAGTGGTGCGAGCGGTGCCTCTCACCACGGGAATCATCGTCATGCAGCACGAGACTGCGGTTGCGGTTGGCCGCCGGCCTCGCATCATCTCCATCACCTTCATCCTCCATGGCTTCGTCGTCCCGGAACCCTGCGTCATCTGTGTCAAAGAGGTCATCGTAGGCGTCCTCAGCAGCAGCAGCATGGGGCGCAGCCTGTGGCACCTCTCGCGGAGCAACGGTGGAGCCCATGGACACGTGCAGCAGCAGCCCCAGGTTGCCCTTGGTGTCCGTGTAGGCCAGCTCCCCCCTGCCTTGAGGGCTCCAAGCAAGTCCACAGATGCTGTATCCTTTCTCGTGCCTCACTCTGCCACACAGGACCAGGATCAAGATGTCAACCTGGCTCGAAGCCGTTGATGCCACCGCACCTGAATTGCCACCGCGATCTACCCTCTGCCAGATCCCATAGCTGCTGCACAGAAGACACAACGACCGCCCAAGATCTGCTAAAACAGTATCCCACCACCTGGTCTAAGGTCGTCTCTTTGTTCGAAGGACCCGTGGAGCCCACTCAAGTGCCTGTCTCAGTAACTGACCCATTTCACCATCCTGCCTGTGTCCCACCCAGCGTAGCCTGTTTTTTCCTAATTGTATACACATCACTCCCCTGGCCTGCTCTCTTCCGGATTGCCACACAGGATCAACAGACACCAAACCGAGGGCCTCGGCACCATATTTTTGTATATTATTACGAGTTCTTTAATTTTCATTGTAACAGTGCACGATACAACTGGGGGGCTTTCTACATTATTCCATGGTCAGCATACCCGTGTATGTGAGTGTGGAACACACCTTTCAACACAGCTCCGTGAAGCAATGTCCCACACCACAATGTGTCCATCCACGCTGGCAGCCGCCACGCTTCCACCTCCCGGTGCCCATGCAACCACATTCCAGGGCTGTGGTCCATGCACACAACCACAAACAGTTTTGCCAATCACACACGTTCCGATAGACGTGCATCTAGCTACAACACAAGTTGTCAACGGTGGGCAGATGCAAGCTCTCACATGACCCATGTTGCACAGACGCCAATCCTACATATTGCTCTTCATACATATTTACCTCACATAGGAACACTTGTGCAGCTGCTACGTGGATTGTTACAGCACATGATCGTGAGAGGTGGCGGTAGCTTTGGGATGCTGTAATACAGTAGTGGATTGACCATGGCTGATGATGACGAATGTTTGTTTGTGTATCTAGCGTACAGTGATGCCGTGGTCAATGTTGATCAGCAGATAAGCAGCTCACCTGCACGACTCCATCGGCCACCAATTCAAAACTCTTGTCCCATGAGTTTCTCTCGAACACCTTTACAGCTTTTCCCACAGGTACGGCCAAATGCTGCAGAGGAAGAAAGGAACGATCACTGCACAGTGGTGCGTGGCACACACTGATGGTACAGGAATGCATACCGCTCATATTGAGTGAACATTCTTAGAGAGTAAATTAATGCTTAAGTGGTGGTGATATGGCTTATTGTATGGAAACTTCCTTTGCACCGTACATAGCCAACCGTGCGAATAGGAAGTTTGTGGTTTGAGTCGGGAAGGCTTCTCTTGTTATTACTCCAGATGTATGAAGGATAGCAAAGTGGATGTTAATGATCATTTGACGTTATTCGAAATGAGTAGGCCATTGTGTACCAGTGTCACATTCCAAATTTGCCAAACTGGTAAAGTTACCTGCAAATTGTTCAATTGGGATATGGCTCATAGCAATATTGCTTCCTCGTGACAGACTATATCCATCTGTGAAACACAGTGCCTCCGTGATAGCCCTGCACTATAAGAATGATGCGAACCCCAAATGTACCAAATTATTGGCGGTCGAGGGATGACATTGCTTTATAAAGAGATTGTTGGGATTGCTTACATCAAGACTGGCGCTCTGGGGCAAGGGTTTTGGCTCTGCTGGGTATAGCTCACCTGTCCAGTGTGTGGTTGCCAGGCGAGGCGGCAGAGAGTGCGTGCGTTGCACACGTCGTTCGACTTGTCAAGAAGAGCCCACGTTTGTGCTCTGGACTAACCACAACCACACGCCACAGCCCACAACCAGAGCAGTCATTCCGGACACGGGTGAGGGCCCATACACAGCATTGGATCTTTCTGTATAACCGAGTGTAACGGTGGGAGTTAAACGTTTCGAAGAACACCATGAATAATATAGACAACACATTCGTCTACAACAGGGGTGGGGAACGTTCGCCCCGCGGGCCGTATAAGGCCCGCGAAATCATTTGGTCAAGCCCTGCCAAGGCAACCGCAGGCGGGACGCGAAATTCAATACATCTAGGAGGAAACCTGGAAAAGCAGTTAAGAGTAGCAACATCATCAATACCAGCTAACATCACACGCCTCACCAAAGAGAAGCAGTTCCAGCCATTACATTAGGAGTGAGTTAATTAAATGTGTTGACCAAATATAACAGGCTCATTTTTAAGTTGATCATTTTGTATGGCCCGCGAATGACGTTATAAATATCCAAATGGCCCTTGGCAGAAAAAAGGTTCCCCACCCCTGGTCGACAACATGGCACTACAGAACTAATCAATCCAGCTTTACATTTCGAATAAATGGATGTACAGAGTATTGGACTGATTAAAAGGGGAAATAAAAAAAACATATGGCAAACCTGATCAGATATGAGCCAAATGCACACCGTCCCATCGCAGCTGGACGAAGCCTAAAACCAAAGACAAGAACATGTGACGGCACCATCTGCGACAGCAGCACATAGAACCGGCTTCTACTGGCACGGCAACAGGAGTACCATCAACAGGACAGTGGCATCTCACGAGATCATCGCACACGCAAGCACCGTTCCGTAGTTTAATCATCCCTTGCAGAGGGCTGGTGCATCTAAATCACGCCAACGTGCAATTGGTTTAAAGAGGGCACCGAGACTCACCAGGAACACACCGCAGGGGTCAAAGGCGACGCTAAGCACAGGCGCTTGGTGTCCGTACAGCGTCACCTGCTGCTCTCCACCCGTTGATGGCCACAACTTTGATGAGGAAGTCGCTGTTCACAGAATGCCCCAGGTTAGTCTTTTGCCCCTAAGCGACTTTTAGAATTACATTTTGCCAACAAAATTCATAACAAAATTACAAATCTCTGCATATTTTTAGAACGTGTGATCATGCAGACATTTTAAAGTATTTACATTCAACAACAAAAGCAAATTACACACACGCCACTACTTTATACCACTAATGAGCCTAAGAGCGGTGGGGCGTTTGCCGATTGTTGCACAGGTTCGCGGATCAAGCCATATGGGCACCCTAGTTAACACCGCGGGTGTAAGAACCTTAAATATATGTGCTGGCTGCTCCACAGTGGACGTTAAAAGTCCATGTGACATGATGCTATAAAAGAGTAGGCATAGTGTGCTGGGCGTCAAGGTCTATATTTTCCAAAATAATAAAAAAACGATCCCTAAATTAGCTCAGTTGGAAAACACGTAGCAACAATTGTCTCTCCTCTAACGTGAAACTTTGCAGGACCCTTCCAAAAAACGTTGCGCTCACGAGACCAGGAATGAGTCCTCATTTGCAAGAGTGACCTGGGACACCAAAATAAGAAAACATTGTACAGCAACGAAGCAGATGTTACTCAATTCAGGCATTCCTGAGTAAAAAAAAAAAAAATTGTATCCAAAACCAAAAAACCCCACGACAGTACGAAGAACGAACCTTCCGGCAGCGGCGAGCTTCGAGCCGTCCTGGTTGAAGTCGAGGTGCGAGGGGGCCGCAGTGAAGCGGGTGACGATGCCGTCCGCGACGCCCTCGGGGAAGGTGTGAACTTGCACCGTGTGATTGGACACGGCCGTGACGAGCCGGCTGCCCTGCACACCCGGCGGGCACACCAGACAAGAAGAGGCAAAGTCACACCGCCATGCAACCAAATGTACCTCATTGTAAGAAATTACTCGCAAATTAATTACACAATGGGAAAAGCACGTAAAGCTTGTGTTGACCCCTACTGTGAAACTTCGCATTAATTACGCACAAAGTTCTTGCCACAAATGACCCACAATACCTTGCTGATCTCGTTAAGGAGCATAAACCATCACGCGAACTCCAGTCATCCTCACAGCGGCGTGGCCTGCCATGCCATCTTCCGTCTAACCCATTGGTCATCACACCTTCAGCGACTTGTCGTGCCCAAGCCTACTTTTCATCTACATATAATCCGGTAGTTTAGCGGGTGTGCAACCACACTTTAATGACATCGGGCATCAGTTTGAAGATGCGTCTTTAACGTTCCGGTGTGTCTTATAATCTAGAGAAATGTGCTGAACGTGATAAAAAAAACAGGCTCGTGGTCAAAGCTCTTAGTAAGGATGCCCTTACCTTGAGTGCAACAGCGTGAGCTTTTTCTCCGACACGCACAGACGTGGGGTCGTCGTCGTCAAAACCGTCCCAGATGCGGACATCTCCATCCACCCCACATGTCACGATGTACCTGCACACACAGCATCGAGCAAAAAAAAAAACCCTCAAAGCCGAACACAGCAATTCAAACAGCGCACGGTCTTTTGGAGCCGAATTGTCCCGGGAGGTGTTGTATGGCAGGCATGTCCAAAGTCCGGCCCGCGGGCCAATCACGGCCCGCGGTCAGATTTCACACGGCCCGCAGCTTCGGTCTTAAAAATCATAAAACTTTTAAGATGCAATTCCTCCTTTCACCACACGGTGGCAGCACCATTCTAATTCTATCTGGCTCTGCATCCGTGCCGCAAACCCTTCTCGAGTCATTTCTGCTATGGCGACTGCAAAAAAAGAAATGCGGTCATTCACTAAGAAAATGCTGAGCTTATTCGAATCCACATATTTGTGTGAGCAAACATTCTCAGTCATGAACTTAAACAAGAACCGATTGAGGTCAAGGATGAGCGACTCCCACTTGCGTGTCATTTTACGCATCTCAACCACTGCCCTCAAGCCAGACCTGGTCTCTTTACTGAAATCTAGATCTCAGTATCACCCTTCTCATTAGTGTCAGCAAGTTATCTGTTCCTTGATCAATCTGAAACGGTAACATCTGTCACTATTAACAGTGAAAATCCTAAAGCACACTAATGCACTTGGACTTATGGCACTTGTTTTATTAAACTCTTGAATAAGATTTGGTTATAACTGTTGATGTTATGCACCTGTAGATGTGACACAAACTATTGCTTTCTGAAAGATCTTGTAAAAGACAAGGGCAAAATTCACTTGTTTTAAAGTTTAATGATAACAGACCACTTTGCATTACTTATAACTCCTGTTTAAAATGTTCATGAGGCAAAGATATTTAACTCATGGAAATTTAAGGTATTCTATACAGTTTGTTCAATGTTATCTGACTGAATGAAAGGCAGAATTGTGTTTTTAGAGTTGTTCACGTCTGCCTGAGTGGCTTATATTTGCTTACATTGTCATTTGAAAAATAAAGGTAATTGGTAAAAAAAATGTCAAAAGGAACTATTGGCCCCCGGGCATCTTCACTTTATCAAATGTGGCCCTCTTTGCAAAAGGTTTGGACACCCCTGTTGTATGGGATGAGAGGGTTGGGGGCCGACTGCCGAGACAGACTTGGGAATGGTGTCTGGTGGCCACACGGGAAGACCCAAGGATATTCTATGGTTCTTTGGAAGGAACCATAGAATATGAATTCTTGCAGCCACGAAAGTTTTAAGTAAAAATGCGACCCAAGGATAGGTCAGTGTTCTTCAATGCAAGGCCCGCGGGCCACTGGTCGCCTTTAGTGTGGCCCCCGACAATACACAAATGTCAATACACAAATGTCAATACACAAATGTCAATACACAAATGTCAATACACAAATGTCAATACACAAATGTCAATACACAAATGTCAACACCCCCCCCCTCACCATCATCGGCCTGCTGTCAACCCCCAATGGTTCAAATGTGTATGGGGGGGGGGGGGCTCATACTGATGATGTCTTATAGACAAACGTGCCCCCTACTCCCCCTCCTGATAATTAGAACACTGTGCTCGATGATGGGATACAGTTTTAAATTGTAATTGATTAGGTAAAGCCCTGTGAGCCATCCGGCTCTTGAATCTGGTGCAACAAACAAAACCCATGAACAAGAAAACATCTTAAAGTTCCTCCGCGACTTGAAGTGACTATCTTCTTGGTTCTTTCGGTAAAGTCACGTAGAAGGTAAATGATAAAAATAAAACATAATAAAATACAATTCTCACGAAGTTTCGGCCACAACGCAAGCAGCCGTCATCAGGTGAAGAACAGGGCTGTCGGAAAGACAGCGTCCGAATGAAGTGACTATTTTAAAAACAGACAGGGTCACAGAGAGCAGATCTGTGGGTCTCTGTGCAAGTAACTCTTGTCGGCACACCTGCCGGCGTCGTCGTAGCAGAGCCCCGTGAACCCCTCCATGTGGCCGTAGCGCATCGCCTTGCGCTCCGCCATCGACGCCGTCGACCGCCGCCGTCACCCGGGAGAAGCCGGCGGGGGGACGCTGCTCCGCGGCCACAGAGGCAACGTTTTACCTCCCCCACTCGTTAGCCGGCACAAGCGGGCGCCTGTTAAGACTGCCGACGGGGTGGAGGAGAGTTGCGAGTCGTCTCTCTTCTTCCCCAGCGGTGAAGGTGTCGCTTTACCCACCGCACCAGCTCAGGCGATTTAAGGCCGAGTCGACCTAGGGGGGGTGGGGGGGGAGGACCGCGGCTCCGCTCTGCCCAAAGTTTCCTGCCGTTCGCGCCAAAACGAAGAAGGCTGCTTCTGATTGGTCCACGCTGCGCTGGTCACGTGACGCCCCCTCTCTCCCCCCCCCCGCGGGAAAATAGTTACGTCCCCGCGCAAGCCTGACGCGTGACGTCACCGCGCAAAGCTTCGTGCATGACGTCACAGCGCAAGCCTGGCGCGTGACGACACCGCGCAAATCCTCCTTGCGCGTGACGTCACCGTGCAAGGGCCTCACAAATGACGTCATCGTGCAAGGACCTCACGTATGACGTCACCGCGTAAGGGCCTCGCGTATGACGTCACTTGACGAGCAGTTGAGAACGCGATGGCGACTCCGCTCGGTGTTCAGCCGCAACAGCAGCAGCAGCAACAACAGCAGCAGGACTTTGACCCCGTGGCGCGGGTGAAGATGCTGCTACCGCAGCTCAAGGAATGTCTGCAGGTAACGGCTCTCAAATGCTGCCCCGGCTGCTGCTGTTTGCTGCTGCTGTGTGCGGCGCCGCGTGTTGATGACCGCGTGTTGATGGCCGTGCAGGGGTCGGCGTCTCGAAGGGCTCAATCGGTCACTCGCCTTCGCTCACCCCCCCCATCTCCCCGCGCACACGCGTCTTTGTCTTTCTCTTCCTCTTCCATGGCGTTTCATGAACTTTTAACGACTCGCGCCGCACGCCGTAGTTGTAGGAATTCACCGGGGTGACCCGGTCATAGGAATACATCCGGGTCGAGCACGGGTAGAGCACGGAACCGGCACGGGTAGAACACGGGAGCATTATGGATAGCAAGGCCGTAGCCATGGAGTCAACATTGGGGGGGACCAAGTTTTCCAGGTGGTCTGGGGGTCCCCCCCCAGAAAAAAAAAATCTAAATTTGAAAAGAGTTTCCTGCCTAAAATATTTAAAAATTAACTCGCATATAGGATGGACTTTTTATTTATTTTTTACAATAATGTCTAATAGTGTATTGTATTACATTGCTGTTTTTTCTTTTTTACATTTTTTTTGTTTAATTGTATGTAATGGCAGAGATTAGGGATTTATACTGGTAGGAACGAAGTGAACCAGCCTACAATAGATTATATCGTCCGTCCGTCCGATGTCCGATTAGGTGTAGCAACATCGCCCCCTACTGCAAACACTTGGCAGGACCCTACAAAAACCTTTAGACTCAGTGAGGCTTTCCTGGCTAAGCAAGTGTAACATTCCCTTATAATTCCCTGAGATAGCTTTTAATTAAAACATTTAAATTAAAAATTAACTCACAGCGGCCTAAAGCCTACAGCTAGGCCTAAAGCCTAGAACTAGGCCTAAAACTCTCCCTTCGTATCGTACCCCCGCGTGTGTGAAAGGGAGTTAATGTTTAACAATGTTACATTCCCTGATGTTTTTAAATAGAAACATTTAAATTTAAAGCTTTTACATAAATAATTAAAACATTTAAATTAAAATTAACTCACAGCGGCCTAAAGCCTACATCTAGGCCTAAAGCCTAGAACTAGGCCTCAAACTCTCCCTTCATATCGTACCCCCGCGTGTGTGAAAGGGAGTTAATGTTTAACAATGTTACATTCCCTGATGTTTTTAAATAGAAACATTTAAATTTAAAGCTTTTACATTAATAATTAAAACATTTAATTTGAAAATTAACTCACATCGGCCTAAAGCCTACAGCTAGGCCTAAAGCCTAGAACGAGGCCTCAAACTCTCCCTTCGTATCATCCGATTAGGTGTCGCAACATCGCCCCCTACTGCAAACACTTGGCAGGACCCTACAAAAACCTTTAGACTCAGTGAGGCTTTCCTGGCTAAAGAAGTGTAATAATACATTATGTTTATATTCTTTGGTTATTCGTTCCTACCAGCCCACCCCGCAGGGACCTGTTAAGGTACAACCATAACCACAATCATATAAACAGCAATCTATTTTATAGCAATATATTGGGGGGGACATTTTGAGCATATTTGAATATTGGGGGAGGGGGGATGTGTGTGTCCCCTCCCCAATATATATTATAATTACGGCCTTGATGGATATAATATAGGAACGGCATTAGGAAAGCACGGGACCAGCACGGGTAGAGCATGGAAACGGCATTGGTTGTCACGGGAACAGCACAGAATCAGCACGGGTAAATCAAACACATGACGGGGGCAGAGCCTTTCTCTACATTCTAATCAGCTGAAATGTGCACATGTTATAGTTTGGCTCTAACGGGATTTTGGCGCGTGTTTATTGTTTGTTTACAGAATCTTATGAAAATTGCTGCTCAGAACCTGAACCAGAACACGGCGATTGATAATGGATTGTGAGTCGCACTTGCATTGCAGATCTCCATTGCACACTTTGTTTTTCCACCTTTTGGGGTTTTACAATTTTAATGCAGGGCTGTGTGTGTGAAAATATATGTCGATATTGGGGGCAAAATGTTGGGTGTTCAGTTAGCACGTTTGGCTATGTACGGTGCGAAAAAGTTCAACAACATACATATCCACACTTGCCAGTCTACGTACGCCTGTGTATGTCCAGAGGGGGAAGTGATGTTGTGCAAGGGATTTGTCGTGATGCCTTTGTTTGTCTCCTTCAGGAAGAGCAGTGACTCGCCCATTCATAGATTTGACAAGTGCCTGGAGGAGTTTTATGCCATCTGCGATCAGATCGAGTTATGTTTGGTAAGTCGTCGTGAATTGCCGCTCCGAGTCACGTCTTAACAAGTCGCATGTTTACAGTTATCTGGTCAGGCACTGGATGTCACACACATGTCACAATCGTCTGTCCGTGAGGCCGGGTCCACACCAGGGCGATCCGATCCGTTGTGCTGCGCATGAGCCAACTAAGGTTACAGTCCTGAATGGTGTTTCACTTCCTCGTTGCGCAACTACTCGTTCGGATGCGGACAAAGCAGTTGCAGCCGATGTTAAGTTGCACCATCTCGAGAACCATCGCTCTTACCTGCCGACACCTGGCAGGGCGTGCCACAAAGCGTTACTGTGCCGGAAGGAGTGCAAGGGCGCATGTGTGTGTTTCTATGTCGGCTTTCTTTCGCACCATACGTAGAAACACGTGGGCTTTGCCTGGTAAGATGGGGATGCTTCAGTTGTATTTGTATGTTTGGGTGATTTGTTTACCTTTCTTGTACTCCGATCGTGTTTTTGTATTGTTGTAACGTTCTTACCTGCCCCTACTGGACATCTGTATAAATAAATCTCATTCTGAACCATGGTAATCGGAGATGCGGGAGTATGATTGTTATAATTGGTGGTTGTACACCAAAGGTGCCAGTCGCGCACGTGTTGTGTCGATGAATTTGTGCGTAACGTGCATTGCAGAGGCTGGGCTACGAGTGCATCTCGCAGAGCGTGGACAGCGCCAAGCACTCCCCCAGCCTCGTGCCCACGGCCACCAAACTGGACGCCACGCAGGCCGACAGCCTGTCTTACGGGCAGTACCTCGCCATGATCAAGTCCCAGATCTCCTGCGCCAAGGACATACACAACTCGCTGCTCGTGTGGGCACGGGAGATCTCCAGCAAGGGGCAGATGTAGTGGCCACCCACCGAGTGAGCAAGCGGAGACTGTGGACGCACGTTGACTGAGTTTGATCTTTGTTTGAACTCTCTTTTTTAAATGTCGCTTCATGGAGAACGTGGGGAGGGGGGCAGGGTGAAAAACACAATTTTCGTATTGACGTTTTATATTCTCGTCTTTCGTTGTCGTGTAAAGCACTTTTCAGGAAATGTAACGCAATGGAAGTCGTGACTGCTTATTGTTATTAAATTTGTTTACACAACAAAGTCTCACCATTGCGTATCTACAGCTCGTCACGTGACGTCACCCCCCCAATCTCGCGCGTGACGTCACTACGCAAAGCCTAGCGCGGTGACGTCACTGCGCAAAGCCTGGCGTGATTACGTGACCCGCAAAACCTGGTGTGATTACGTCACCCCGCAAAGCCTGGTGCGATTACGTCACCTCGCAAAACCTGGCGCGATTACGTCACCCCGCAAAGCCTGGTGCGATTACGTCACCCCGCAAAGTCGCACAGCGACGTCCCCACACATCTTGGTGCGTCTACGTCACCCCGCAAAGCCTGACGCGTGACGTCACCCCGCAAAGCCTGGCGCGGTGACGTCACCCAGCAAAGCCTGGCGCGGTGACGTCACCTTACAAAGCCTGGCGCGGTGACATCACCCCGCAAAGCCTGGCGCGGTGACGTCATCCCGAAATCTCGCGCGTGACGTCACCCCGCAAAGCCTGGCGCGGTGACGTCACCCCACAAAGCCTGGCGCGGTGACGTCACCCCAAGTCTCGCTCGTGACGTCTCCGCGCAGAACCTGGCGCGACGACGTCACGTGACGAGCAGGAGAGACGCAATGGCGATTCCGCTCGGTGCTCAGCAGCAGCAACAACAAATGCAACAACAACAACAGCAGCAGCAACAGCAGCAGGACTTTGACCCCGTGGCGCGAGTCAAGATGCTGCTGCCGCAGCTCAAGGAGTGTCTGCAGGTAACGGCACTCAAATCCCGGCTGCTGCTGCTGTTGCTGTTGTGTGCGGCGCGAGTTGCCGCCCGGGGGAGTCGGTCCCCTCGATCGGTCACTCGCCTCCGCTCACCTCCCCGCGCACACGCGTCTTTGTCTTTCTCTTTCATGGCGTTTCACGAACTTTTAACGACTCGCGCCGCACGCTGTAGTTGTAGGAATTCAACCGGGGTGACCCGGCTACGTAACTACATCCGGGTCGAGCACGGGAACGGCACGGGTATAGCACGGGAACGGCACGGGTAGAATACGGGAGCAGGATGGATAGAATACAGGAACGGCACGCGTATAGCACGGAAACGGCACGGGTATAGCACAGAAACAGGATGAATAGAATACAGGAACGGCATTGGGAAACACGGGAACTGCACGGGTATAGCACGGGAACGGCACGGGTAGAACACGGTAGTATGGATAAAATACAGGAACGGCATGCGTATAGCACGGGTATAGCACGGGTAGAACACAGGAACGGCATTGGGAAACACGGGAACAGCACGGGAACAGCACGGGAACGGCACGGGTAGAACACGGGAGTCGTATGGATTGAATACAGGAACGGCACGGGTATAGCACGGGAACGGCACGGGAACGGCACGGGTAGAACACGGGATAAGTGCAGGTAAAGCACAAACATGATGAGGCAGAGCCTTTCCCTACATTGTAAGCAACTGAAATGTGCACATGTTATAGTTTGGCTCTAACGGGATTGTGACGCGTGTTTTTTTGTTTGTTTACAGAATCTTATGAAAATTGCTGCTCAGAACCTGAACCAGAACACGGCGATTGATAATGGCTTGTGAGTCACACTTGCATTGCAGATCCACATTGCACACTTTGTTTTGCCACCCTTTGGGTTTCTTACAATTCTAATGCAGGGCTCTGTGTGTGTGTATATATATGTCGATATTGGGGGGGAAACGTTGGTGTTCAGAAAGCACGGTTGGCTATGGGGCCGTCCATAAATGACGTCACGCACCTATGGGGGGGGGGGGGTCAGACATTTGTGACGAGGGGGGGGGGTTGAGAAATGGGACGTCACATCAAAATGCGCAACTTTAAATAAATATAGAATTGTTACACTAATTTTGATTAATTCTCATTATTAACTATTTGATTATTTAAATGTACTAAGGTCACCTTTTATTTATTCCATGAAGGAGCATTTTGCTTCTCCGTGGGAGAATGGAGAAGCATACATTTTGAACATTTTTTTAAATGATTGTTATTAAACATTTTGATTCTAATGATTCTACCAGGGCTTTTCATTCTCTGGAATGAATGATTGTTATAATTGTACTCTCCATTTTGCTTCTTTCTACTACGAAGTTTCAAGTATTTTTTATAGTTATAATTACTTTAGATATTTTATGAATTATAAGATAATTTCAATATAATATTCTGAACATCTGCAGTTTTAGTTAGACGTTGAATATTTTTCAAGTGAATTTTATGCTAAATTTAAGCTTTCCAACGCCTCCATTTTAATACACGTGTTCTCCTACAACATCAGAGTGCAGCGCCACATTAAATACGCACTACAATGACAATAGTTTTAAGCGATTTGAAGCATGTCTTATTTTCAAAATGGAAATATTTGGGGGGGGGGGCAGAGCTTTGTGACGTCATATTTGAGAGGGGGGGGGGGTCTGACTTTTTGTGACGCCGTGTGACGAGGGGGGGGGGGTAAAAAATCGTCCAAAATCGCGTGACGTCATTTATGAACGACCCCTATGTCAATATTGGGGGAAAACCGTTGGTGTTCAGAAAGCACGGTTGGCTATACAAGGTGCAAAAGAAATTCAACAACATACATATCCACACTTGCCAGTCTACGTCCGGCTGTGTATGTGCAGAGGGGGAAGTGATGTTGCGCAAGGAATGTACTGTCATGCCTTTGTCTCCTTCAGGAAGAGCAGTGACTCGCCGATTCATAGATTTGACAAGTGCCTGGAGGAGTTTTATGCCATCTGCGATCAGATCGAGTTGTGTTTGGTAAGTCGTCGTGAATTGCCGCTCCGAGCCACGTCTTAATAAGTCGCATGTTTACAGTTATCCGACTGGACGTCACAGAGATGTCGCAATCGGCTGTCCGTGAGGCCGGGTCCACACCAGGGCGATCCGATCCACAACTCAGCGACGCATTTCATGACGTGCGCATGAGCCAACTAAGGTTACAATCCTCAATGGCATTTCACTTCCTCGTTGCACAACTACTCGTTCGGATGTGGAAAAAAGCAGTTGCAGCCGATTTTTAGTTGCGCCAACTCGAAAGCGATCACAAACAACCGCTCTTACCTGTTGAACCTGGTGGAGTGTACGTAGAAACATGCATTTAGATTATTTTGCTGCTTTAATTTTCCAGATAAGCCGAAAGGTTGCGCTATCATATGGCCAGGTCGCTTCTGAAAAATAAAAAGGGGTGACAAGTCTGCACATGTGTGTATATATCGACTTTCTTACGCACCATATACGTAGAAACACGTGGGCTTTGCCTGGTAGGATGGGGATAGTTTTATTTGTATGTTTTTTGGGTGATTTGTTTACCTTTCTTGGACTTTGTATTACTTTTTTGTATTGTTGGAACGTTACTACCCGCCCCTACTGGACATCTGTGAAAAAGAGCTTTATAGCTCATCAGATTCCTCCAGCATGAATAAATATTCGTGTTGTGTAGATGAATGTGTAGATGAATTTGTGCGTAACGTGCATCGCAGAGGCTGGGCTACGAGTGCATCTCGCAGAGCGTGGACAGCGCCAAGCACTCCCCCAGCCTCGTGCCCACGGCCACCAAACTGGACGCCACACAGGCCGACAGCCTGTCTTACGGGCAGTACCTCGCCATGATCAAGTCCCAGATCTCCTGCGCCAAGGACATACACAACTCGCTGCTCGAGTGCGCACGGCGCATCTCCAGCAAGGGGCAGATGCTACCCACATAGCGAGCAAGCGGAGACCGTGGACGCACGTTAACCGACTTTAGTCTTTGTTTGAACTCTCTTAAACGTCTCTTCATGAAGAATGTGGGGGTGGGGGGGGGGGGATAAACACATTTCGTATCTACATTTCATATTCCTGTCTCTCATTGTCGTGTAAAGGACCTTGCCGCATTTCCAAGAAATGTAACGCAATGTAAGTCGTGACTGCATATTATTAAATTTGTTTGCACGAGCCTCACAGAGTCTCAATTAATTCTCAGACAAGTCCTACGTTTTTGCAATAGAGGTCGAAGATGGCTACATTTCCCATCAATTACTGCAAGTCGTTTAACGCGGTAGATTCATTTCTGAAAAATGCATTAAGCGAAGTTTCCCCACAAAGTAACAACAAAGTTTGCCGAGATACGATGTACACACACGGTAAAATGGTGTGACATAACCCGAGGATACGCCGCCACGTTGCTATATCATTCCGTGCAGCTCCAAGTAGTTACTCATCGACCGGTCAGAAACCGCATTAGAACAGGCGCGTACCACATTGAGCGAAGTGTACCCTAATGTTTTCAGCGAAAAAGCGTTGTGAACGTGATAAGCGAGGGCTTACTTAATGTTTTGGAATAAGCACATGCACCTTTACACACAGGAGTGTGGACATGCGTCCCTCGAAGATAAAGTGGGTATCTGCCATTGGTGTTAAAACAGGAAGTGTGCAGGTGACAGAGGATTATTGATGCATATTTACAGGTGCTCTCTTGGTTAATATGGGCAGCAACAGCATAGCCTTGTATTCTTAGGTTTTTTCGGTAAAGTCACGTAGGTAAAAATTTTATAAAAGTAATAATAGAAATAAAATAATAAATCACGATACAGTAAATCTAGCTGACGGTCCCACCTGATGACGGAGACTTGTGTTGCCTCCGAAACGTGATTTATTATTTTATTTCTATTACTACTTTTATTTTTTACCTACGTAACTTTACCGAAAAAACCTAAGAGTATGAATCCTTGCAGTCACGAAAGCTTCGAATCTAGAAAAGCATAGCCTTGGCAAACTGGTGAAGTTGTGACCTGAGATTGTAAAGTGGATGGAGCAGGCATGGGGGGAGGGTTGTGGGCAAACCGATAATAAACCATCTGGTTAATGACGAGATGCAGGTGCTGCATGAATGCAAAGCCTCAGTACGGGATGTTGAATGCTGCCGTGTTGGAAAAGTCCTGACATTGCCAGTGAATTTTAATAATCCAGCAAGCCAATGCACTGTTTGCAGTGGCCATGGTAGGATGCTCAGGTGTGGTTCATGTATCTATGCCTCATTTATAATGACCACGGTCTTGTGCTGTATGCAAATGGTTTATAAGAGGCATTTGTGCAACGTGTACATGGCTCTCCCATTCACCTGAAATGACCCCACTGGAATTTTCTGTTGTAGGATGACAGAAAATTGTCTGCGAGACCAAAAAAACTCAACATAGCAATGACCTTGGCTTGCCTATCACTGATGGTTGTAAACAAACCACACTGGTCATGTTGAACGCAGCTCTTCATTATGTGTACTGAGATTGGTGGGAGACACGTGGAGGCTTTGAAATAACATCTTCTCAAGTCAGAATGGTAAGTCCTCGCTTAACGCGGAGGTTGCGTTCCTGAAAATTTCTGCACAAAGTGAATTTGCGTTGAGCGGGGGATAATTTTCCCATAAGGAATAACGGTAAGGGTTGGGTGTGTCATTCCAGCCCGTAATGTTGACAGTTTACAGTACATGTGTTTTGTTTAAATGTGTTGTTTATAAAGTATTTCTATAAATATTCTATGCGTGACAGTTGTTTAAATTTAAAATGTGTGCGTGAGAGATACGACGAGTGAAAAACGTAAGGGAGTGGACAGCGATAGACTGTAGTTGACGCTACGCACACAAAAATGCTGCCGGAGCTAGGAAACCATGCCGTGTATCACAGCGCACATCACTCTACAGTACCAGCTCCCAGCATCACCGAACAACATCCAAATCGCTCATAAAAGTAGTCCGTTACGTTCGATTAAAGAAAAAATGTGTTAAGGTGACCACGCGTTCAACGGGGATTTACTGTATAAATTGATCACCCTGTGTATAGTAGGTATACGCACAGCAAGTGGGCAAGTGATGAAGGTTTTTTGTTGATCGAACAAACTCCAAAACACACGGATTCCACCAGCAAAAAATATATATTTCTTAAAATAAGCACACGTTCTAGTAATAATTTGTAGCAAACAGCCACTCGCACACAAGCGTGCGGTCCTTTAACACCAATAATAAGTGTTTTTACAATGCGTAGATGGGCCCGTTTCTCTCTGGATGTTGGTTTTAGACGTACACGTATCCATCTGGTTTATTGACCAAGCCCACCTCCCGTAAGGTCAATTACGCACTCGCGTACACCAACACCACTCCCAGCCAGGAAAATCTCCGCACGGCAACGTCTTGGCAAAGCACCCGTCAAAAAAGGCCACGACGTCACTGCAGCAGTGCATTACCAGAAATGTTGCAATTGTCAACAGAATTTCACGACCCCCCCCCCCCGCCCCTGATAAACCTCTTTAAAGATGCTGCGCAGTGCCAGGGTTTTGCTCCCCTTGCGCAGTTGCCATCGAGCGGCAGCTGGAAGCACAGAGTGTTTGGCTGCAATCTCTTCCCCTCGAGCTGGTCTTCTCAGCCCAGCGCCATCAATGGGCCACAAACGCCAATGGTTCACAGTGAAGGGCGCCATATCTAAGGCAGAGTTAAGTCTTCCCCACGGTAGCGCATTTCCTAACCCCCATTCTGATCAACTGCAAAAACCTAAGTCGAAGGCAGCGGCTCTCTCCCCCCCATCCAAACCTTTGTGGCGCTGCGGACCGCCGTGCATTCATCGATGACACACTGCACGAAGTCAGTAAATTCCGGCGATCAGGTTGAGCCATTCGCCAGCTGTGTTGACGGCTCACGAGCGCAACGTGAATTGGAGGGTGAAATATGAGGTTTTTGTGAGAAGAAAAAAATGCACACTATCTGCAACAATTTCGAAGACCACTTCCCCACTACCTTGCGAATAAGCACACACATTAGAGGGAGCCACTGCTCCAAGGCATCACCCACTTACACGTGTACAGTATCAGCATTACCGGAACTGCACAGTTTATAAAATACGTTTATGCTTCCAATGTAATAGGTAATGTAAAAAAAAAATTGTAATCCATAAAACGCCGGCAAAGGAGCCTTGCTCCAACCTCTGCCCTACACAGATCTGGTGCCCACAGTTTTAGGCACATTGCATACGTTGGGCACGCGAAGGAAAGTAACAAACATCCAATAAATGAACACGAACATTAAAACGATGATAAAAGTTTTGGTAATTAAACTTTTTAAAAAAACTGGTAACCTGCCTTAGTGTTAATCTTTGAGCCGTTCCATACACGCCCGAGTAAACATATGGCTTCCAAAAGTCCAGTGATCGATGCTGCATCTTGCTTGTTGATGTGGCAAAGAGACTAAACGCGCACGACTAGTTGGGACCGACTTGGACCGGTGCCCAGCCAAAGGCACTTCAATTTCACGTGCCCAGGCCAACTGAGCGCACCACTTCATACAAACCAATTACACTGCAAATAAATTACAGGAATGCTTGGGTCACCTTAAATGTTAACAAAATTTTAAAAATTTTCAAGTTCATGAGTGTGTACAACTTTAAAAAAATTAGCCAGTCTGGAATTTACAAACGGTGCATATATTTATATACATAAAATATTTAAACCCTTCCCATTTGTATAAAATTAACCCTTTTTCACCCATAGTATATATATCCATTAGCAGCCTATGTCAGCGAACCACCTTTTTGCGAGATTGCTTCTGACACCACGCAAGGGGCGGGGAGGGGCTCGTCGGGGCTCTGGAGGAGTGGCGGCGACGGCGGTGGGGAGGGAGGCTCGGGCCAGTGCTTGGTCAGCATTCCCCGCACCAGCTCCACCAGCTTGTCGAACCCCCACAGGTAGCCGTCCTCGCGGTTGCCCTCCTCCCAGCGCCGCCGGTGGCTGAGGCGGCGGCCTTCCGGCAGCGCGCTCGTCTTGCCAAAGTCGATCATCCTGACCCGAGCGCGCCCGCTCGCGTCGTGCATGAACAGCAGCGAGCTGCCGATGACCTGCGGTGTGACGGCAGCGGCGGCAACAACAATGGAGCGCAGGTCACATGGTCGGTGACGGCTCGCGTAAGATCCTGCTGCCAACAGCGGGGGCAGCGTTGCTAACTTAAGCAATTTTCGCCAGCAGACTTTTCGGGTTTCTCCAATCAACTTAATTGTGAATAGCGAAAAAAATAGGGCGACTTTCCGGCACGAACGCAATTATGAGTGTTTAGGAGCGATTCCAGGTGTGCTGAGAATCTGGTGGAAGTTTACCAAATTTAAAGCTTTGTTCATTGTCGATTGACATTGTTGATGAATTCGAAGGTATACCTTGCGACATCCAAGAGACATTTTAAGGTTTGGCGAGTCGGCAACACTGCACAGGTGCCTCTGACTCAAACAGTGCGCAGTGCACATCCAGTCTAGGGCAGAATGTCCAGTCACATTTGACGATCTCCACAAACAAAGACCCCCCGTATAGTCTGAACAGACTGTTGGGGAAAATGCTGTTAGCGAACACCTACAACAGCACACGAAGGAGTGGGTGGCAAGCACGACGCCCGACCGCCTTTGTCTCCCCCGTGGCAATGTTTAAACACCACACCAGGTACAAATTTGAGTCGAGCTAGGATCGGTTCAGATATTCATCACCAATGTAGGGCATGAACGGGAATCGAACTCTGGTCACCGGATTCGTAGTGCAGCGTGCAAACCACGACACTAGCACTTCCCACCGAGGATCCCTATACACACGCACATCTGTAAGAAACCGTAACAAACGGGATGCACTGCAGGCCAGGCGTGCATTTATATGCGCCGGTGGGGTCCCAGTGGGAGCCGGCGGCCACGCACCTCGTGGGAGAGGAAGAACGGTGATGCCTCCAGAACGGACCTCAGCTCCTCCAGCTGCTGCAGGTAGCCTGCCTAGAGGTGGGCAAGAGGGGGCCACACGGGGCAGGACGTCACCAACGCGGCCCACACACACACGGACACCGCACGCGAGGTGGCCGCGTCGCTCGCACCACCAGTGAAATGAACGGCGCTAACGATGGACACAACGCACCATGTGGATTATTGCCACTTGGCTAAGGACTGAGTTTAAAATCTGGGGCACAACACTTGGCATGGTAGCCTACTCCTGCAAATGTCAGTTTAAAAAGTCACACATTTTCCACCTTTTTGCTTGTTATTGTGCAATCGGCAGCATGTCATGAGACAGCGGCCATTCAGAACTGTCACCAAGCAGCCCATCGCCTCATTCATACGAGGGGTGCCGCATAGCCCCACATGACCTGCCACAGAGATGTTGACCCGACGGCAGCAACGCTGCCCCGCACCTATGGGCCGCAGGATCCTGCAACTGCTGTCACTGACTACGTGCTGCTTCGTGATTTGCAAACCAAAACACTCGGGAGACATAAAATACGTTTATGTGTGCCACATTGAGTGTACCACCTACCCATATATCGTCGTCTTTGTTGACAAAATCTTCAAACACTTTCACAATCTGAGGAATGGTTTTCGTTTTTTTGAAGTCTCTGCACACCGATCCGTCTTCCTTCTGCGAATCACAACACGCGAACCAGGCACGGTGAAACAGGGCGACGGGCGTGCACCTCCCGACCGCCAGTTCCCCCCACGCGTGCGTTCCCCCCCCCCACCTCCCACACATCCTCCCCACCCCCAGCGTGTCCCCCCCCCCCATAGCCCTCACCTTGACCCCCTCGATGCGGAAGCCCAGGCTGGCGGAGGAGCTGATGGTCTCGCGCCACTGCATGTAGCGCGGCTTAGGTGACGGCACCAGCCGCATGCTCCGTCGGGGTGGGCGCGTCCGGGTCGATGGCCACCATCTTCTGGTACATGTCCCGCCGCAGCCGCGGCTTTTCCCGCGCTTTGGTCAGCTCCTCTTCCAGGTAGGTTCTGCCCAGCAAGGCCGCACGCCACGGGTTCGGATCAGTGCGGTGTCTCGAGCGGCGCTTGTGCGGACAGCCCGATGCTGCAGTGATTTTTTTTTAAACGCAGTTCTCTGAGCACGGAACCAATGACCCAAAACGTCAAGCGGAGAGGTAAAAAAAAAAAAACACAAAAGCTATCAAGTTGTAAAAGACAAAGAGTCAACACGTTTCTTGAATCGGGCAAGGTTAAAAGAGCATGGGAAGAGAGGCAATGGGGAGTGCTGCGCAGGTGCGACTGTGGCTGAGAAACACGAACAACGATGCAGGGATGGAAGTTCTCCACTCGGCGTCACCAGAAGGTATCTCGCGGCTAAACCTAGATCTAGAATTATTATAATTGCGAATAAATCGAAGCCATACGCAAGAGGAAGAATCCTGGTGCCTCTTTGACCCACCACCCCAGAGCGTTTAGATCCTGGTGACCAGAGATCACTTGGTGAAAACAAATAAACTTGAACTGTGCTTCATACAACGCTTCGTATGCTTTGTTAGTACCAATGGTGGAGCCAGGATTTTCAGGTAGGGGGGGCAACCCCTCCAGCAATGAAAAATGATAGGAGTTGTTAGTAAGTAAGGACTTGTCCCTTGCTTTTTATTCAACGCGTGTGCGGCAATGGCGCAGCCATCGATGGAGGGTCGAATTCGAACCACGTTGTGTGATCGGCATCGTGCTCGCTGAAGGTGAATGCCTTCAGGGAAGTTGTGTACTGTATACGCAAC